TTTAGCCTTGCTGTGGCCTTTAAAAGGCGCGTTTAAGCTGTGATATATATATATATATACTATATACTATATACTATATACTATATATATATATATAGTTGTACATTTACACGCACCGTCCCGGGTGGAGATCTCTCCCCCCTGAGCTTTCAGGTCTTCATTTGCACAGTCTTGACTTTTGTGAGTGTTCTGGGCCACGTCCTTATCCTGGTTTCTTCCTTTTGATGATCGAGGCAGAAGCTGTTTAGGAAGCTAAGAGAGAAGACTGCCATGTGTGGCCCTCAGCTGCAGGAATGGTATCATTGGGAGTCTCTCTCGTACTAGATTTTGACCTCAATTTCATGAGGGTTTGCCAACAATTATTAGATGATCAGATTCATGAGTTTGCTCTGGGGGGTGTTAAGTCTTGTCTTGTCCTTTCAGCTCCTCATGTTGGGATGATGGTCAGCTTCGCTGCAGAGAGGTCGACTGGTTGGTGTCCAAAGACTTGTTTTGTTGGCATGATGTTGCAGTGGGCATGCTGCAAGGAGTGGGGGTGACACTGGACCATACTGGACCATGCTTAGAATATCTTCCAATACTTTGGACATCCCATGTGTTCCGGACAAGTCGTGGTGGGATCAATACTCTTCGTTGTGCGGCTTGTCAACCAAATGTCGACCGATCATGGAAGAGGAACATCAGATGGACGAGTTTTGTTGAGACAGTTTGATTCTTGTGTCAGAAGACTGGACTTTAAAGGCTCTTATGGCCAATTCAGAATCCATGACAGGCTTTCCTATGGCTCAGACATGGGCCCCCTCATGAGCAGCTTGCCCTGGTTCCGTTGCTCAGGGTGCTGACCAGTGATGAACTGACCATGGTCCAGGCACGTAGCAAACCATGCAGTAAGAAATGTTCCTTCAGAATCCCAGACCCTGCAATAGCACCTGGGCACACATGGGCAAAGTTTCTCATGGTCCTGAATGCAGCCGGGGTGGGGTACTTATGCTTGGTTTTGCATGGCTTTGCTACCTTTATAATACATTATATATGGTCTCATAGAGTCATCCGGTCATTTCCGCCCTGATGTGGTTTCCCATTCCTGGCCTCGTAATATCTCGTAATATAAAGAGTGTGCGAGTGTGTTCATTCTGGGCTCCCACTAACCTTATCAGGGAGGGACTGAGCAGCAGAGGAGCGGGTTCCCAACTCGAAGAAGGCCTAGAGTCTAGAGGGATTGTAACGAACAAAAAGCGCTGGGTCACGCCCTTTCCATGCGGTGGTCTCTTGGCTGTTTTAGAAGGATGGCCTGAGATATGGTTTGGGTGGATACATGAATACACCTGCGTAGACCAAACATCGAGCGCCATGTCACCATCGGACGCCCCAAACCGTCACCTACGTTCGTCGCCATGAACGTCCAACTTCGGGAGCATGTTGTGCAACAGACTGGGCTTGTTGAACGGCTCAGTCTGCAGGAAGCTCTGGAGGATGACCACTTCTTCAAGTGCGACCTGGAGTTGGAGGATGGGAAGATCAGCGAAGGAATGAAGGCCCGCCCCGCCCGCGGTTGGACCCGATCCGCCCAGGGCGGAGGCGTGAAGTTTGCCGGTGCGAGGTGTTGGGGGAATGCTGAGAAGAACGAGCTGGGAAGATGCCAACTGGTTTCAGTACACTTAGAGTAGGTGGGTGAAGCATGTCTGTTAGTTGCAAGGATGTCGCCCCACTATGGGGTCAGCAAGTGCTACTGAGTCAAACACCTAGTGCGTGGAAGAGCATCGGCTAGCAATTCGCACTGAGTCAAACACCCATCAGCGTTCTCACCACTGTCAAGAACCAGTAGATGTAGATAAGCTTAAATGCTGCAAGGTTTGCTCTCTCTCTCTCTCTATATCTGAGCGATGTCCTTTACTAGAGCCAGACGATCCAACGCAATCCTCCAAAGAAGCAGAAAACCACAGAACACCACAGATTCAAATGAGTCTTAGCAAGAGTCTTCGATGTTTTGAACTTATATCAGTGCTTCGCTACCGTTATCAGTGAAGACTTCAAGTTTCCCCTTTTCCCTTTGTCATTTTCACCACCCAAACTGATTTCCCTCTACCCAAAGGAGACATTTGACAATACAAAATATGTAATTATACTAGGGGCAGATGACAGGAAAGGTGGTGATTTGGAGGTCGTTGCACAACTCACAATGTCATTTGTACCTAGTGAATCCTCATTTCGCCGAGCTGCTCCCGACGAACGGAACCGCCGAGCCGGACGAAGCACAGTTCCGCAGCGACCGCGTGACCATGTCGAGGTCTTAAACCCACGATCCGTGCAGCGCTCAGTGAAAACCATCAGCGTCCACTGCGTGAGCGAAAGTGCAATCTTAAAGGATGAAAAAGGCTGAAACCAGGATCAGTTCTTCCCGTTCACACGAACTCTTCATGAATTTTGGCAGGAGATTCAAGAAGGAAAGCTGCCCTTCACCCTACGCTTCTACCAGAGCTCCAGGCATTGCTTCAATCACCGGAGTGGGGCGGGCGGCGGCACGTGGCGGGCGGCGGATGTTTGGCTCTTGGTTCGATGAGTGAAGCAGACGCAATGAGACGCCACATGCCACATGTGTGGTTGAAATACTAGCTAGAGTAATAGCCCTTCAAGAACGTGATGCAACGGGAGTGACGTCAACAAGCCATTTACCTTGTGTGCTCCAAAGATACTCCAAGATAAGTGCATTTTTTACATCCAGCTGCAGCTTTCAACACAGAGGGTGATATTATTAGTGGCCCATTACCAGTAACAGTCCGTAAAAGAGTATCCCTATACTTTCTGAGAAAGGCCTCTACGAATAATAATTTATCATCATCATCATCATCATCATCATCATCATCATCATCATCATCATCATCATCATCCACTATTACTGGTAATCGGATACCCAATATCATCATATCATCAAAAGCTTTCCGTGGAAACACAAAAAGGCCGAGCAACAACCCAAGAATGTAAACCCTCAGACGTGGAACTTGTTTGAGATATTTGGAGGGAACAGACCAGTGAACAGACCTCAAGATCAAGGAAGTGACCCTCGACCCCAGCTGATCTGCAAGAATATCTGAGGCTTGGAATCAAACCAATGTATAGGATATGTATAGGATAGATACCTTTAGTAGGGTCATAGTATAGTCTCCAAAGGTCCGGAAAAAAGCATAGATAGTCAGTTGGTGACCTTTGGAAGGTTCTGCAGATGCTTTTGAGTGGTCAGTTGGTGAGTTTTTGCCCTCCCTCCTCCCACCAGGCCTGCTTGGATGAAGTCCACGCACGTGTCCCACTGGCGAAGTCCTCGGACGCAGGTGTCGCAGGTGTCGGGTCGGAGCGTTGTCCCGGTCTTGCGTAGCGAGTCGCGAGTTGGGTTCTCGTTGGACATCCTGGGGGTCTGGGTTCCATTTGGTCTAGATGTGTTGGAACGTTTTCGACGTTTCCAGAGTCCACCTCGTGAATGGGTGTCTGGATTTCTGGTAATGGTGTAAGATCATTCTGGTCCTTGAATCCCTAACTGATTGGCTTCAATGTGTTGTCAGCATGCTGGGCCACAGGTTTTCCATGTGCTGGGACTCTCGTCCATCCTGATGGAAGACAGGCACTGGCAGCACCCGAGAGGGTGTTAATAACTACAATTACTGTATATTCAATTAAATGTACTACACATATGCACATACAGCGCGGCGCAACAGGACTCCTTTGGTGGCTTTTGGTCACATATTTACGTGCAGGTGACCCGTTGGAGGCTGCTGATTCACATAAAATTTGTCTAGTGTGACATGCTGGGGTGTTGCCTGGGGTGCAGGATCGTTCTTCCATCGCCCCACAAGTTCGGAGACTGCACACGCCCCCGCTTGATTCGGCCCAGGCTTCGTACGATGGACCTGATCCGTGCCATTATTCTCCGAGCCCAAGGCAACCGCGAGCGACACCAGCGGCACCAGCGGGAGCGACTTCTTTGGGCCATTGGGTGAGGCTCCTGGGACGGACACAGTGCCCCTTCGCTTTCTCCCAAGACCAACTCTTGTCCAGTTCGCAGGGAGCAGGTGATCGACGTAGTGATCTGACAAAGTACCAACAAGGGTGCACAGGTTTTAAAACGTGGCCACTTCTTCATCCGCCCAACCATCCACTGGTGACCAAAGCACCAGCTAGACCAAATGACTGTACATTCCCATACATTCCCATTCAGCACGCACCATAGCAACCGCGATGCCCGCCAATTCACAGCAGCCACGTCGCTACACTCCCCACCGTTGTGAACGGCCGGTCCGTGCCAGGTCCGGTCCTTTTTTGGGGTTGGTCCACGCTGACGGTGTCAGCTTTGGCGAGCCTCTTCTCTCAGATGTGGTGCCGGGCCTCGGTGTCAGTGACTTTTCGTCATGGACCGGAGACTCCTCCGTCTCCGTCTGAGAGAGCTGGACCACTGCATGGCCACCCCAAAACTACAGTGGTTTCAGAGTAGATGGCACAAACCCCAACAGTGTAACAGGTTGTTTTTATGGACCCCCATCTACAAGACATGTAGGGGGTTGTGCCATCTACTCCTATGTACTGTATGGACTTTGCTGAGATCACCGGCCCCCAGCCGGATCTAGCACACGTCTCTTTTTGGTCGAAGAGGGTTCGAGAGGGTCCGGTCACCCACGATGCCAAAGTATTGATAAGTATTGACAACGACGCGTTTCGACTTGCGCCAGGACATGCCAGGACCATCAAGCGCCAATAGACCCGCTTTTGTTGGGTGCCATTTGGTTTGGAGGTGAAGTTGCCCTATACCTTTGACTTTGGCTTCATTGATCGTTTTGAAGAGGAACAGACTGCCGAACGCGGGCCGATCACACATCCTCGTGTCACAGGGTCACGCACGACGTGAGTCCAGGGTTTTGAACGTTCATGAATTCTATAGGGCCTATAGGGCATGTTGTTTCTGTTCTTGTGGCACTACTGTAGTGGGTTTGAGAGGTCCAACCAACACCTGAGCGAAGAGACCACTGCATGTGCACGAGAAGAGACCACACCGCGGTGACCGCTCAACCTGAGCGAGTTCTCGAGGTCGCGAAAGGAGATTGCCATGTATCGCACCTGTTTGGAAAGGCCTGCGGGGGGCTTTCTTTTCTTCCCTTTGGCACAGAGGGCTCAGGTAGGTCCCTGGAATGGTCCCTGGACTTGAAATGAAAGCATCATCTTGCAATATCTTGCATAACTAGGCATCGCGTGTTCAAGAACCTAGGCAAGTGCAAACTGGACATGAACAAATAATGAACGCAAAAGGTCTTGGTTGGGGTTGCCCAAAAGTGATGATGGCGAAAATTGCACCTGAACTGCACGTGGGGGTCGATGATTTGTGCACCGATGGCCGTCACGGGGCTCAATGCCACAGGTTTGTGGTGGTGCCCAGCTGGACGGCTCTGGCTTGGCGTGGAGCCCAGATTCGTGCCCAGCTGGTTCGTCCCTGCAAGAGATGTGGAAAGCCTCATGGTTTCTGGAGGAAAGTCCATGGGTTTCTTCCAAGGAGCCGGTGTTCCGTTCCGTGAGTGTCGGATCGTGTTGGAGGGAGGATATGATGAACTCGGTCCATGTCCTTGGGTATGGGTTGCCAGATGGTCATAAGAATGTTAGGAATGCTAAACTTAAACATTCCCAAAGTTCCAAACATAATATGACATTCTTATGAGTACATGGAGAACAATGCACCTGGAGTTTTCTCCTAATAAGGTTGTGCTTTTGGAGGAATTTGGACGTTAAGGAGGCCCACCAATCCGCATCTATAATACAATGCCTGGTGAATACAGCCCGCCACAAGTCCTGGCTCAGATGACAAAGGCCATGTTTGGCAAAGCCTCCGAGAAATCATTCAGACAACTCAGTGATCACCATTTGGGGAATTGAGCTGTTCGAGTCGTTTGCGGGTGCTATACCCGCCCCCCTGTCCGATTTCTTCACTGGTTCGGTTTGCTCGCTGGCTTAGCTTGAGGTTTCTGCACCGCCTGGTGCGATTGCCGGGCACCACAGGGATTGATTGGCCTTTGTGGCCGTGCAGAGAGCGGCTGATGCAGAGATGGAGTGCGATCTTGCGTTTTTTTGGAGTTGCCTCAAGGGAAGAATGCCCTCACAAAAACTCTTCTCCCGAAACATGAAGAAGCAAATGGCAATCCCATGGCATAACAGCGCAAAATTAAGAAGGAAAGCCGTGGAGAGTGGAGGTATGATGAGGTGTGCCCACATCAATGACAGAATTATTGTTATTGTGTATTATTGCCAATCTCATGGTTTGCGGTGGCGCGAAGGATTTCCCAATCTGCAAACTGTTCACCCCAGATGAATCAATCGGATGGTTGGCAACAACCAGAAGAACTCTTTCTGTTGAAGGGAGTGGCAAGGATATCTCCTGTTCTCGGCATTTCCGTGGAAAACCATCCATCCAACCCTTTGCTCCACCTCGCCAGTCGCTCCACCCGCCCAGGTGGGGTCAGCGCGTGTCGCGCGGCCGGGCGGAGATCAGCGACGTCATGGGCATGCAGCTGTGGACCCAGCGGGTGGCAACCGGTGACCCCGCAGACTCCGAGAAACACCGTGATTTCAGCGTCCAAGGGTCAAAAGCCAGGGCTTTGTCACATGATTTCTTTGTTTTCTTCCGACTGAAGGTTCG